CATGAAGTGCTCCAAAATCTCCTGATAGCTAGCTGCATTGACCCTGCCCTTGATAAAACACAGTGGACCAACATCAGCAGAGACATGACACCCCAGTGACTGTGGAAACTTGACACTGGACCTCAAGCAATGTGAACTCTGTGTCTCCTCTCTTCCTCCAGACTCTGGGACCTTGATTTCCAAAGGAAATGCAAAATTTACTGTAATCAGAGAACATAACTTTGGACCACTCAGCAGCAGTCCCAGGCGAGATGCTTCTGACACAGTCTCTGGTTCAAGAGTGTCTTGACCTGGGGAATGCGGCACCTGTAGCCCATTTCCTGCACACGCCTGTGCACGGTGGCTCTGGATGTTTCTACTCCAGACTCAGTCCACTGCTTCCGCAGGTCCCCCAAGGTCTGGAATCGGCCCTTCTCCACAATCCTCCTCAGGGTCCGGTCACCTCTTCTCGTTGTGCAGCGTTTTCTGACACACTTTTCCCTTCCCACAGACTTCCCACTGAGGTGCCTTGATACAGCACTCTGGGAACAGCCTATTCTTTCAGCAATTTCTTTCTGTGTCTTACCCTCTTGCTTGAGGGTGTCAATGATGGCCTTCTGGACAGCAGTCAGGTCGGCAGTCTTACCCATGATTGTGGTTTTGAGTAATGAACAAGGCTGGGAGTTTTTAAAAGCCTCAGGAATCTTTTGCAGGTGTTTAGAGTTACGTCGTTGACTCAGATGGTTAGGTTAATAGCTTGTTTAGAGAACCTTTTCATGATATGCTAATTTTTTGGGACAGGCATTTTGGGTTTTCATGAGCTGTATGCCATAATCATCAGTATTAAAACAATTAAAGACCTGAAATATTTCAGTTGGTGTGCAATGAATCTGAAATATATGAAAGTTTCATTTTTATCATTATATTATGGAAAATAATGACCTTTATCACAATATGCTCATTTTTTGAGAAGGACCTGTTTATATATACACACACACACACAAACACACACAAACACACACACACACACACACACACACACACACACACACACACACATATATACATACATACATACATATATATAAAATAATAATAATAATAATAATAATAATAATAATAATAATAATAATTCAAGATACAAGTCTGTAAGTCTCAGCGACTCGTGGAAACTGAGAAACCCTTCAACTGTGTTTGGACCTTTTGGAGAATATAGTTTACCTGCTACTCAACAACAGTCAGCCCACTGAGAAACAACCTGAAGGATTTAGTGCAGTTTTCAAAACTGAGCGTCAGACTTACTCTATCCTCATCTCCCATTCTTCTCTCTATTTTTGTGGCTCGTTTCAGTGTGGCTAACTTCTCCTGCAGAGAGAAAAAAAATAATAAAATACTTTGAAAACTAAGAATTTTAACACCTCCCCCCCCCCCCCCCCCAAAAAAAAAGAAAAACACAAACAGAAGGTCAGCCCATCTCTGATATGACCTCCAGCCAACAAGTATGGGCATTTGAAAACAGCTTTATCAAACCTTAGTTAGCCGTGTAAACAAAGAAGTCTGGCTGCAGTGGGCATACCTGGCGTCTTTGCAGAGATTTGTGCTTTAGCTTGCTCAGGAAAAAGACTGCTGACTGAGTTCGGGAGAAATTCAGGGTCTTGGACGTTCGTTGAGGTTCTGTCACAACCAGAAAAACTAAGAAGTGAGTAAAGTTTTTTTACATGGCACTTTTTAACAGATAAAAATCACAAAGTTCTTCACAATAAAATACATTACAGTAATTCATACTTCAGGAGAAACAAAATGCCAGACATGTAAAAAATCAACATTTATTTTAAAACAAAACTGTAAATGTAAAAGGCACCTGACATTACCAATGGCCTACTTGCAGCTTTTTATACACCTCAATTCAATTCAATTCAATTTGTTCAGTTTCTTTATGTAGCACCAAGTCACAACAGAACTCAGGGCACTGAACAGAAACATTCATTTATATAAATACACCTGCTTAAAGTAATCTGATGGTTTCTTGTATACAAATCTTCAAAGTAAAGTGCCTCATATTTCATTTTTACTTGGATTTTCAGTAATGTCAAAGCAACAGCATTAACTTGTCAGTCCAAACAGAAACTCTTGGGCTCCGGCTGTCACCATCACTCCTACCTCCATCGCTCAGATGAGGTTACCTGAGACAGACAGCTCCCTCCTGTCTGCACATCACTCAGCAGATCCTGAGCAGAGCAGCATCACAGACACGAGCGTTTATTACACCCACTTCAGATCATTCAGTAAAGGCTGGAGCCACATCCACACTCCATCAACTCCTCATTCAAAGAAAGACTAAAGAAAATACCTCTGCTGCTAAGAGCTGAGAGAGAAATCCTTCCCGCAGCTGCCCTTTAAAAGCCGCTGCTGCCGTCAGCCCCTGATCAGCCAGCTCCACACTCACTGTTTGCAGTCTGTTTAATGCACAACAGCTACACAACCAGTACAGGCTGGCTCAGAGCACAGCACTAGCCACACAAGCCCTATGAATTGTGGGTAACTTGCTCTTAAAGAGACAGCCCTGCTTTGATCATCAGTCTACATAGACTATGTTTTTGCAAGGGGGAGGGTACACTTGACTCTTAAGGTGACGCTAATGTTGAGCCGTGTCTAAGCAACCAAGTTATGTACGATTAATGCTGTGGTCAGGGCAGCACGGTGGCGCAACTGGTAGAGCTGCTGCCTCTCAGTGAGCAGGTCCATGGTTCAAATCCCGGTCCAGGGGCCTTTCTGGGTGGAGTTTGCATGTTCTCTCCGAGCATAGGTGGGTTTTCTCCGGGTACTCCGGTTTCCTCCCACAGACCAAAAGCATGCATGTTAGTCTGATTGGTAACTCTAAATTGTCTCTAGGTGAGAGAGAGAGAGTGAATGGTTGTTTGTCTCGTTTGTCTCCATGTGTCCCTGTGATGGACTGGAGACCTGTCCAGGGTGTCCCCCGCCCCTCGCACAGTGATTGCTGGACATGAGCAGCAGCGACCCCCGTGACCCAAAATGGAAGAAGCGGGTAAAAGATAATGGATAGATGATGCTGCGGTCACTCTTCTTCAGAAAAATATGTAAAATTACTTTAACGGCTTTTAATCAAAACACTCATTTGTAAATGTCATGATGATTTTTGACTTAAAAAAATCTTTACCTTTTGGCGGCAAAGCAAAAGCATCTTTGATCTGGGTGAGGTAGAGGACCATGGACAACTTGTCTATCTGTCCACTGGGAGACATGACGGGCGGGATGCCCAGTTCTTTCTGTATGATGCTGAAGGCCAGCTGGTTGTTGTGAACGCTGTTCGACTCATCCAGGGAAGACAAGTCACTGTGGAGGGATGACAGAGGCTTTTTTACACAGTGGCACAACATTTCACTGCAGATAATCAAGTCCATTAGCAGTCAGTAATGCAGGCCTTTGAGGGGGGCAGACAAGCCCCCTAATCTCTAGCAAAGTGTCCCATCTTTGATAAATTGTTTTCCAAGTGCCGGTCCATCACTCTGGTGTAAGAAGTTACAGAAGCCATTATCTAATCAACAATGAAGACGAGGTCTGCAGCTGGGTTTGTCAGGGAGCACTTTGTCTTTAATGTGACAGAATTCAACATATTTTACCAAAAGATCACAGAGTACTTCCTGCTTCAAAGAAGAAATTTAACTGGAAAAAATTAGTTCAAAGTATAACGTTCTAAAGCAAGATCTGCCACACTAAAATAAATTGGCATGAAGAAAGAAAATCTACTTTGTCCAAATAAATATACAAAAGAGCTTCAAAGGGCATTTGTGATAGTCTTTTTGGGATGCAAAGGAAAAATGTGCACGTGAACCTCAGGTTTAGACAGTGTGACTGAAATTATGAGCACATTTTAGCCTCAGTTTAAACCTTAAATATACTGAACGACGACAAGTCTGGTGTCTCGGATCCAACACAGCTTTTAAAAATAACGTGGACTGAAGATTGCCAACAGCTGGCGCACATCTGTGACTGGTGGGTCACACTTTATGTGGAAACAACACTTGCAGCCTGAGCGACTGTTGAGCGTTTAGTTATTCAATAGTCTCTCGTTTATCGCGGGGGATCCGTACCCTGAAGCCCCGCGATAAGTGAAAAACCGTGAAGTAGGAATACTGTATTTTTCGCTGCATAAGTCACAATTTTTTGCATAATTTGCATGCCCTGTGACTTATATGCCGAAGCGACATATTTATGTATTTTTTCCCATATTTGTAAACCAAGTTTTGGCTGAGAAATGACCGTTTTCATTCATTTTGACTGAAAATATTGAACACTACCATTTTACAACCACTAGATGGCAACAGAGTAATAGGGCATGCCATTGTATTATGTAATGGATAAACGTGGCTTTAATGACAAATTCAAAAAAGTTCAAGACAAAAACAACTGGACTTAATTTACTTTATTATTTTTGTCTTGAACTTTATAGAATTTACCATATCCTGAATGACTGAGAATCTTCACCAGCTATTAATGACAAAATCGGCTTGCCATAGCCTGCCACCTTCGTCCCAAGTAGGCATCTTTGCAGACAAATTCGGAAGGCATATCTGGAGGGCCACATCTGATTGGACGATAAATCAATGTGTGTATCTAGAGGGTCACATATGATTGGACGATAGAAAAATAGGCATATCCAGAGGGCCACATCTGATTGGACGATAGAAAAAAAGGTGCATATCTGGAGGGCCACATTTGATTGGACGATAAAAAAATAAGTGCATCTGGAGGGTCACA